CCCCAAAACCCCAAAACCCCAAAACCCCAAGATTATAAATTTAAATTGAGATTAATATCTATCATAAGAATTATATCATATCTTAATAAATATCTTTAGATCCTTCAGACATTCACTCGTCTGATCCATCCCCCCTCATTTTGCTATGATCAAACGAAGTATCACCACTGTCATGAGTGTAGGTACACTCATCACTGCTTTGATCATTACTAGGTTCCTTTTTACCTTCCTAAAACAAAATATTAAGAGTAATTTACCTTTGAATCTTGTTTTTCTAGGTTGAACTCTTCTCTCAAAAGAGAGAAGCCTAATGCACATGCATTCTTCTTCGCCTGCTCTCTTGTATTTCCATAAGATTTGCTTAACTGTTTGTTTCCTTTATGAATAATCACGCATTTGTGGTGAACCAGAGGTTTTCCCTCAGGCTGGTCTTCTAAGGGATATCCCAATTCTTGATTTCAATCAGAATCGTATGGATTCTTCTCTTTGATAGCTCCAAGCTTAAATGTCTCTATCTTTGGGGTTAAGCCTTTAGAATTGCAGAACAGAGTGAACTCTTCAATGGGATTTTTCCTAATCTTGTCAAAATACTTTGCCACCATGCATACAAAAGGACCCAAGGTGTGTTGGAGTACCCTGACCACTTCATTGTAGCCTCCATCAACAAAAACGGCACCGAGGATAGCTTCGAACACATCAGGTATGATTTTTGGTGCTTCATAATATCTGTTGTGGATCTTATGCTGTAACTCTTCAAATGGCTCATAATCAGAACAGAACACAAAGTTAGGCTCAAAGTCTTTCAAATATGAGTTAATGCATTGTGCTTTTGTATTCTTTTCGAAATTAGGTTTAACAACTTTCTGATTTAGGACTGGGTAATGATTTGCTAAAGATAAAATTAAAATGCATACCTTTCTTCCTTCTTCTTGATTTATTCCTCTTCCTGCTCTTTGAGCTCGTTTTATGATTCCAGAAAGTGTTAGATCTACTTCCTAGAGATTCAAAAAATTGCCTTCCGTATTTTCCTTCTGCTGATGCCTTGGCATCTTCATCAAATAAGTCTTGAATTTGGTCTTCTGGAATAGTAAATGTTGATAGACCTGATAATATAAATCTGTGAATTCCGTAAAATCATGCTATTTTTCATAAAAGTTCATTATTGACTAGTCTTGACTTTGAATGGTGTATTTCAAATGGAGATACATTTTTCTCCATTGCAAACGCTGCAAGTGAGCTGTTTACGATGACGTCCAGTACTGCATCTCCTAGAACTTCTAACTTTTCATAATTGATTATGTAGCCATAGCTTCTACTGCAGTGAACTGAGTAGTAGCTTTCGTGGATCAGTGCTTCTTTGAGATATTTAATGTTCACAAACTTGTAGTCCAAAATGCTTTCGAGTTCTTCAAGTACTTTGTCCCACTGACCAACTTGAGTAAGGTCATTGTGCGAATAATCTACAACCTCTAACCAATCGTATGACTTACTTTCCATATGTTTGTATGCTGCTCCTAGAGGTTCTATTTGCTTAACTCTCAGGCTCTTCTTGAAATTTTGAATAATAGAGTGGCTTGGGAGATGTCTGAGACAGTACTCTTTAAATATTTCTTCGAAATTTGCATTGATTTTAACTCTAAACTCTTTCGGGTTGCCAATTCTAAAGGAAGATGGAGAGTCAGGAAACATTTCTAGAAGTCCTGACTTATCTAAAGGCACCGCACCAATTTTAGATATAAACTTGAGAGCATGCTTCACACCTCCTTTGAACATGTATGCAGCAATTAGAGCTTCGGTTCAATCTGCAATGTTTTTGCCTGTGTACTTGCTTTCTACATAAAATCATTTAGAAGGATTGTATTTCAAGCTGAGGTCTGTGAATGGAGGAACCCAGTTCGTAATATCTCCATCCAGAGTTCTTAGGTATCTTCGTAGATTAAGTGAAACTCCTACTCTAAAGAGTTCCTTGTTTGTGATGAAACAGTTTCTGCGTTCACAGATTTCATTTTCACCAGCTTCAGGATCGTTCTTAAAAACTTCGTATGATATCCAAGCAGCTGCAAATTTTAAAACAGTATCTCCGTAAGTTTCTAGAGGCTCCAAATTGATTTCTGCACTTGTGGCTTTAGTATTGGTGGCTATGTACAGATCCACACAATTAACATCAAGTCCCACTCCATTTCATAGCTCTGTGACATATGATCATCTTTCGTAATGGGTGGCAAGAATCTGCAGAAATCAGCAATGAAGCCACTGCTCTTTGTTCATATAATAAGGATACACATCGTGGAGAGATAGGATCGGCCTGCCTGAGACTCCAGGAGGTTTGGCTTCTGTGTAGAATTTCCTTTTAGCTCTAATGGCAAGGTCTACTGGTAAAAATCTAAGTTTGAGTGTATTTGGATTCTTGATAAAATCTGCAATTACTACTGGAGAGTTCATATATTTCAAATACTGGGCTTTGCCTTTGGATGATCAATAATCTCTGAAAAACTTTACAGTGCTTGCGTTAACCTTTCCTGAATCAATGAGCTGATATGCTGAATCAAAATTCTTGCTTCCAATGTTGATCTTCAATTGCTCAGCAAATTCTATAGGATCTTTCTGTTTGAGATCTTCAACTACCTTTAAATTGATATATAAGCAGTGAGGTTTATCTGCCTTTATGAAGATGCTATCTTTTACAAAGGCATTAAAGTGTTCCATTCCTTCTTGTTTACTCATCCCTGAGTCTTCGCTCATAAATCTCTGATAAATATCGTACAGGTTGTGGGTGGTGTTGGCAACTCCTTTATGATGGATATCAAGTACCATGTCAATGTAATCCCAATCAATGATATCTTCCGGATGCTCTACCAGCTTTGTCATATTAATTGGGACGAAAAAGTAATTCTTAAAGTTGGGCAATCCTTCCTGAGCTTCACCTTGGGAAGGATCTGTTGGACCCATTGGATCGTCTGATAGGTTTTTTATTTTGTTTAAGTTATACTTGTAAATGTCTCTCAATAATAACTTCATGAAAAGCTCTACTTTACCGAAGTCTTCAATGTATAATGGCTCATCAATAGTTTGGGAGATATATTCAAATCCAGTGCTTGATCTGAGGTGGTTTGTAAAAAATTTCACATCGGGTATCTTGCCAGGTCATAGTGGACTCAAGATTCCATATACCACTATGCTATCTCAACTCATTTTAGAATTAGCCACTGTTTTGTATCACTGATTTTCAATTTGACACTCAATTTTTTTATGAGGAATGAATGCAGTGAGATATGTTTTGACTCTAACTTCTCCTTTTGAGTTTTGAACAGCTTGGAATTTCGAAGTCAGGAGCTCTGGCATCCTATTTGACTGATACAGGAATTCTTCTTTGAGTCATTCCTTATTTGTTTCTTTATTTTGTCTCTCTTTTATGTATCTATCCCATTTATCAGTAAAGACCTCGATGGTTGTCATTTCTTCATTTGCATCGAACCCATTAACGATATACTCGGAGTGAGCGAGGTAATGCAGAATTGGCATATCATCCTCTGGCATCGGTTGTGAATCTTCAATAATGGATTTAAATCGATCAGTTTGGTTGCCCAGATGCTCAAGATGGTTTGCCAAACTTTGTAGAGCTTTCTTATCCTTTCCATCAACTTGGTGGTTACTAACCTCTTTCATTTCTGTTCTTGGATAGTATATATCCTTTAAAAATTTAGCTTCTTGTTCCCAAATATGTTTGGAAAGTATATTCTGGCCTATCTTCAGTTGCTGGCTCATATTAAGAGAATGCGAGGTTTCCATCTTTGATATAATTTGGCGTTTTTAGATATCTCAATGCGTAATTAATATTTAGGGGTTTTGGGGTTTTGGGGTTTTGGGGTTTTGGGG